GAATGCGCCCTGGCGGCGGCGGCGGGCCACGAGGGGCTGGCCCAGGTGCTGGCCAACGGGGCGAGCATGCCCATCGAGAGGGTGCGCGCGGCGCGCACGAACCCCCGGCATCAGCCGCTGTTTGCGCAGCTGTACGTCAACAAAGATATACGGAAGTCGGTGGAGACGGTCCGGAGGGCGGTGGAGGCGGGGGCTTGCGGGGTTTGGGTGACGGTCGATTCGCCGGTCGTGGGGAAACGAGAGATGGATGAGAGGTTGAATTTGGAGGTGCAGGTAGGTTTACTCTTGCCCACTTGGGAGGAGGAGGGATAGCTGGGGAGGTGGAAAGATGCTTATGCGATGGGGGGGGAGGGACAGGCACGAGACTCGTCCGCCCGAGGCCAGGGCGTCGCAAAGACCATGGCTAGTTCTATCTCGCCGTTCATCGACTGGGAGATCCTGACCTGGTTTCGCAACCTCACCGACTTGCCGATTGTGATTAAGGGAATTCAGTGCGTTGAGGATGCGGTGTTGGCGTACCAGCGCGGAGTGCAGGGGATCGTTCTCTCGAATCATGGGGGGAGGTCGCAGGATACGTGAGTCTCCTCACTTCTCTTCCTGCATCTACAGATTCAGAATCACTAATGATGAGTCGGAGGTCAGCGCACAACCCCCACTCGTCACCTTGCTTGAGATCCGCAGACACGCGCCCTATTTGATCGGAAGCCGGATGCAGATCTTCGTGGACGGCGGGATTCGTCGTGGGACCGATGTCCTCAAGGCGCTGGCGCTGGGCGCATCGGCTGTTGGGCTCGGACGGCCGTTTCTCTACGGTCTCGCGGCAGGGTACGGCGAGGAGGGGGTGCGCCGCGTGATTGCTATCCTGCGGCAGGAGATCGAGGCGAATATGGTGTTCTTGGGCGTGACGAAGCTGGCGGAGTTGGGGCCTCATCTGCTGAATGCGACGCGGTTGGAGAGAGATGTGGTTGGTGAGGTGAAGTTGTAGTTTGGTATGTGGTAAGTACCACTGCAACCCACATATAGAACCGAGGTAGGGACTCAGGAATTTGATGAAAACCAGGATGGATCTATCAATCGAGCTTTTGTGATCAGAAATTCTCCGAATGGAGCAGTGCGGAAGATCATCCTTTCCTTCCCAACAATCCATGATACCATCCCAAACGAGTGTGTTCGTACACTAAACAGAGCAACTACTCAGGGCTCTCACACAAACATCCCCCTTTGGTACAGTACAGTACCTCCGCAGAGGGGAGGGAGGGAGGATCATCAAGCATAAAGTGATTTTTTTTTTCCGCAGAGGGCTGGCTGTGTGTCACTGTGTTCCAAACTCTCGGGGACCTGATGATGGGACCCCCGATCCACAGTTATCAACTGTACAGTCCGCCGTGTCCTGTTATTAATTAATCTGTTGATCGGCCTCTTCTTTCCTGTTCGTCCCGGGAACAATGCGACTCTCACCTCTCGGCCCAAGAATCCTCGTATCTATATACGCGCGGTGTCAAGGACCGCGCAAAGGTTCATGATCATACATACGGCCGGTCGGTCGGCGACCACCGACTTCAAATCCAACCAACCGAAGAAAAAAAAGACAGACCAGAGGAAAGGAACCCCTTTCCGGCCGATCCGGCTTTTCTTGGATTGCCATGCCATGCTATGCGGAGATTCGACCCGCGGGCTTGAGTCCTATGATCAACCACAGAGTCGGAAGTAGGGTTCGGGGACCATTTCCATGGCCATGCAGCGGCGGGTAACTTAACTTGACTTGCGGTAGGGGGATTTCTGGGTGGAAAGAAAGGTGAGATCCCCTCCCCACCCCCGAGTTTGATTGCTGGTCCCCGAATGCATGGCAGATCGAACCCACGAACCCACTCTATCGGCGTCTTTCCCTTTTTTTTTCCTTCTTTGTTTTTTTTTTTTTTTCTTTGGGGGTTTGTGGATCAGGTGGTGTGGTGTGCTGGTTGTTGGAGTAGGGGAGGTCCAGGAGATTTCGGGGACTTCGGAGGCGAGGGTTGTACTTGTACCTGTACTATATAGGTACTCTTCTTTCTACATTGAACATGTCTACGCTGGGTTTGGACTCAGTATCTTCAAGATTGATATGGTCCCCTGAGACGGTATATCTGTCGGCATTATATTTGAAAGCAGACTGAGGAGGACTCTGTTTTGCTTATTCCTTTATCTTTCATCGTTGATCTTCGGTCGCTTGTCAGACGGTGAAGCCCACCACCCAGGTCATGTTCACACCGATCCATACCTCGTTGGGCGCCTTACTCCTCTACCAGGGCTCCTCGGGACTCCTCTTGCACAATGGCGCGGTCTTTGGGATCTCGTCCCTGCTGTCGGGCAGTCTGCTGCGTCCCAGCTGCGAGAATGTGCCGGTCCTCGCCGGCCTGGTGTCCAGTCTGGTGCCCGTGGCGCTCTGCATGCCATCATTGATCCCCTCGTACCCCCCAGCGCCGAACTCGTGGATCTCGCTGGTGTCGACGCTGGCGATGGGGTTTCTGCTGGGTTGGGGGACTAAGGTGAGCAATTTGACAACTTCCTCTCACGTTGACATTGTGGGAACCACCGGCTAACTACCGTAACGGTCTAGAACGGTCGAGGCTGTACCTCCGGCCACATGCTCTGCGGAATTTCGCGTCTGTCCCCGCGCTCCATCATCGCCACAGCCATCTTTTTCACGACCGCCGTGCTCACGGCCAACTTCCTCCCCGGCCGTCAATCTCTGCCGGCGTGTGCGGACGCCCGCCCCTGTTATCTGCCCGTCTATCCCACCGCAGCGGAGGGCGGATTCATGGTGGCCACGACCCTGCTAGCCTTCGCGACGAATTGGTTTGCCGTGCCCCGCGTCCTCAAACGATCCGAGAAGTCGCGCACGGTTTTTGCGTACCTCGCCGGGTTGCAGTTCGGCACGGGGCTGTTGTTCACGGGGATGGCGGACCCGGAGAAGGTGCTGCGGTTCCTCGTCGGCCTCACGGACCCGGCGCGCTTTGATCCCTCGTTGGCGCTGGTGATTGTCTTTGGGATCGTGCCGTCCATGGTGACTTATCTGTCAAGCGGGCCGGGACAAGACACCCAAAAGGGAGGGCCGTCCAAGCCGACGCTGGCGGAGACTTGGAGGTTGCCGACTGCCACTGTGGCGGATATCGACTGGCGCTTTGTGGCGGGAGCGATGGTCTTCGGATTCGCTTGGGGGTTGCGTGGCGTTTGTCCGGGCCCGGCTATCCTGCGGTCCGTGGTGCAGCCAACTTGGGGACTGGCGGAGATGGCGGGCTATATGCTCGGAAACTTATTGTAGAGGTTTTCGTGGATAAGATCAAGTCGTGTGTATATAAATATGTATAGATATATCATCCTGACACCTGCAGGATTGTTCCCCGCAATATGTGCTGAGTAGCGGAAAATGACGGTTCAGAGGTTTAGTTAGACGCTATGTGATGCACAAAATATCAGCATGGCTCCAAGGAGATGCAGATGCAGATGCAGTCTAGAGCTAGGACCAGCCCAGGCACTGATGCAGTACTGAGGTTTAGACAAGGCTTACAATTCCGTCTTAGCCCAGCTGTTAGTAGAGCGCTTGTGGCCGGGGCCAGCACCGTCCCCGGATCCAGATATAAAGCCTTCCAGCTCCATCCACTCGGCCGCGAACGCAGTGAACAGTACGCTCCAGTTCTCCACGGTGTCTATATCTAGATGTTCGCCGTCATCCTTGATCGTATGCCAGACCGTGGGAAAGCCCCGATCGCCGGCATCAATGATATGCAGGACCTCCACGCCTCGTCTCAGGAAAGGAATGTGGTCGTCTTCAATGTGCATGTACATCGGAATCTCGTTTTCGCTTCTCGACTGATGAGGGAACCAGGACCGTCCGGGATCCGAGGATCCGAACCGCTTCAGCTCCCGCAGCCGCCGCTCCAGCGTGGCCAGCTTCTTGTACGCCCAGTGCGTGGTCGGGAAGAACGACTGGATCGTGGGGTCCTTGGCGCCTAGCAGATCCAGCAGCACGAACAGGGAGATCGAGTCGAGCGGCGACCGGTACACGGACATCGCCGAGTGAACCTCGGAGTCCCACTGCTCCGCCAGGGAGCGTGCACCGTACAGCGAGTCGGTGGCCGTCCACTCCTTGAATGCCTCCTCCCCGTCCATGAAGATGACCTGGATGCCCTGTTGTTCCTCCAGCAGATTCAGCTGCCCCTGGGCGCGCATGTCCTCCCACTTCTTCGTCAGGGCGCTGTCAATGCTCCGCATGGCGTGCAGCATGATCGCGCACGGCGCGGCACTGTCGATCGCCCCGATGAAGCCTTCCGGTTCGTACTTGCTGTCGTAATGCGCGACCAGGGTGAGGCGTCCGACGTCGCCGGGGCTGGCGCCGGGCGGATCCCGGGAGGCGATGAGGTTGACGAAGGGAACCTCCTTCCCCTTGGAGACTGGGGTCTTTGAAGTTGAGTTCTGTAGTTGCAGCGTCCACTCTGGGAGCGAGGTGCGGAAGAACTCCGCAAGGTGATTCAGGACGGCGGTGTTGCCCGCGGTCCCGGAGACACGGGGCACCAGGATCGGGGCGAGCAGTGCACCATCGTGGATATCGAAATCCTTCCCGGGTCGCGGGAGGGATCGCAGGGTCTCGTCCGAGACGGTTTGGTAGGCTGTTCCTGACGCGAGAAGGAGGAAAATGGCGAGGCAGGTGGACAATAAGGGGCGCAGAAGGCCACGGTGCGGCAGCAGCGGAATCATGGCGATGGGGGTTGGGAGAGTGATATGGGTCAACACAAACTCATGGCACGAGACGATGACTACCCTGACTGTCACAGTTTAGTCAAAGATGAAAGAGGCCTGCAGAAGGAGGATGACAGGAATCAGCGCTCTGTCAGAGAGAAATCAAAGGTGAGTCTTTATTTCACAAACCAAGCAGCCATGGATTTGACAGGCCTGACCGCCTTTGAGCTACTATCGATAAGTTCTTATCCGAACTGCCTCAACTTTCTCCGAATTCCCGGCGCAGAGAACCACCTCCGGTTCTATTTCTCCATTCTGTGACAATATGAGGCCTATCATCCTGCTGCATCCGCAATTGCGGACTGCACTTCCACGAAGTGTCCGGCGGAGTCTTAACAGCAAGCTGTTTGCTCGGCTGAAGACCACCGAGAACGCCGCTCGCAGCCCGAAGAATGATCCGTTCATCAAAAGACCAGCGCACCCCGAGAGTATGTTCTATAACAAGGAACCCGACCCGGCCAGCTACGCATATGGAAAACTCTTTGCGCGGAAAGGTACTGTTGCGAATTCGTCTGCATCGCCGCATAGATACCAGCGCTGATCTCATTCCGGCAGGACCCCCCGAGGTGATTCTCATCTACAATGGTGGTGTCCATAAAGCCATGTTCCTGGCGGCATTGAAGATCACTGGCATCCTCCTGTACGGAGTAACGATTGCTTTCATCTTGCCGGAGTTCATGAGTGGGGAGTATCCTGACTGGTATGCCCCAGCAGGTAAGTTCGAAACCCTCGATTGTGCTCATCGCGGAGGGGAGTCAGCGCCTAATATCAGAGAACAGCTCTCACTCTCGGTGCGATCCCGATGCTCTTCATGGCTTACAATGGGGCTACCTTTGTTTGCTACATTCACTTGTTTCTGCCAATGTCTGCTCGCCAGTCTCGGCAGGCGGCTGAGGATTATGCCAGAAATCTTCCGCCGACGGCTCGGTTGTTCATCACGACCATGGCGTTCTCAGCTAGACCTATAAAGAGGGAAGTACATCTCAAAAACCTTGTCCCCGAAGTCACGCTCAGGCGTCCCGTGAGCTTCAAGGATGTGGGTCCCGAATCCAAGAAAGGGTACTGGACTCGAGGGTTGACAGAATTCTGGGCGGCGCCCAAGAGCCACCGTGGGAAACAGTCGACAGCATTCTATCCTCACCTGTGGCCGGTGGTGAGGGAGCAGATTGAGCGGAGGGCGCCGTGAGGGAAGTCTGTAAATTTGGCGTTAGGGGGAGTTCAATGTGAGAGATTGGCATGGAGGTTTCTTATATTAGTGAAACTGGAGACGTGGATAACATTAGCCTCAGCATCTTTACTCCGGAGTTGAAAAGCAACAATACTCTTTACCACATCTTTTTTGGGTCAAATGAACCCATATCATGGATCCATGATCTCTTCACTTCACTCTCATTCCCAGCCTGTGTTACGCCTTAGCGTGACTTCGTGCTGTCCCAACAACACTTTGCCGAGTCCAGTCACCATTCACTCGCCAAAGCTGATATTTTTCTCCATATCCCTCATGTTCCTGACCTGTCCCACCTGCTTGTAAACGAAGCCGCCACTTTCTCCTTCCGTCATTCAAATTTCTCCTGATACCACTTTCTTCCCCCTACACATCTACCCTCCACTCTCATACTCTCCACATAGCTTTCCTCGCAGAACAAATCTTACTAAACACTCTCACGTTCATGGTACCCTCACCTCATCAGAAACACCCGCTCAAACAACTACATCATCTTTTTATGCAACACACGCTACAAAAGAACCCAGCAACAACATCTGTCATGACAACTAGAGGCGCCCCGAAGCCAGAGGGCTTGTTCGGCTTGACTCTCAGCGAGGCCAGGCTCATTATCCTCGGCCAGATGTGCTGTGATTCCACTGGCAAAGTAAGCAATCTTGACACCCAGATACCGAGTGAGAATGAATGCTGACATCCAAGAGAAGCTCGATTGCGAAAAGATAGCTGTCAGAGGCGGTTACAAAAATGCAGCGTCTGCTATGACTGTCTACCGCAATGCGAAACGCCGACTGGCCGAACTCTCAGCTGATCCCCCCGAAGATTCTGCTGATGGTGCCAACAACGCTACCGCAGCAACCCCGCTTAAGACTCCTACGAAGCGTAAGAGAGGCAAGGCAGCGAATGCCACGCCTGATGACATGCTTGCCACCCCCAGTGGTACTGTCGAGGCCGAAGCAGCCGTGACCCCAAAGCCCAAGCGCGTCCGGAAGACCCCGGCGAAAAACGCAGCCGCTCCCAAAGTCGTTATTTCGAAGATCGAGGAAGGTGATAGGTAAGTGCCACCCCTCATACGACGCCTCTGAATCCCCGAACTATGCTAACCGAAAATTTAGCGACGGGGAAGCTAGTATGCAACTCGAATCCTCTCCTCTTGCGCAGGCCAGCGCTCAACACGACGAGGGCGGCGATTTGTACAAACGGATCAAGGAAGAGCAGTCTACTCTGGCTGACATCGAGGAGGAAACTATGGCTGATATTCTGAAAGAGCATATCACTGCGTCTGACGAGGAGAGAGTCATGGCCCCGATTGATGTCGCAGCCGAGATGGAGGCGATGGAATCAGTCACGGTCCCGGTAAAGACCGAGGAATGAGTCTCTCATCCACCTCAAAAGCTGTAATTCGATGAACGGATCGATCTAACATGCTTTACCGAATTTCTGTTATTATCCCCAACGGCGTCCTTTAGGGTGTTCCTTATGGGAGCGCCTGTACTTGATAGTTTTCAATCCAAAGAACAACGATGCAGTTGTCAAACTGCGCAGATCCATCTTCATGGCTCGTAGAACTTGAGCGGTTGAGCCTATGTAATTCCTCGCGCTCAAGATATGTACATGCCCGCGTAGCAGTGGCCACATTCTTAATGCTTCAATCATAATTTCAGTAGTGTCATCAGGTGAAGCTGGGCCACCTCTTCCAAAAAGAAACTATCCATCCAATCAGCAGAGATCGATTATTCACCGACAGCGCTAGAACGTAACAATTCACTCAGCAGATCAAGTCCCAGTCAAGGTCAAGACCTGGTGAATGTTGTATTCTTCTTATCTACATCTGGGACTATCTGCTTAGTTTGCATGATTTGCATGATTTGCATACTGCAGCTTCTCCGACCCACCCGCATCAACGATTCTCCGTCAGACAAGCAACTGGACGGCTTCTTATCGGAGGAAGACAAACCACGCTATCGAGAAATTCCTAGGATACAATTGCCTGTCCGTTTTCTTTTTTGGGCCAGTTAATCGCCCCATCTGATTCTCCTCCACCCCGGAACTCATGAGAATCCATTCGGGGTCGCTGCCCCAGCGGGCACGCCTACATGTTCCTCGAATCCCGACTCTCTCCCACCAAACCGTATGCGGCGTCCACAACTACGCGCGGACGGCCGCGGTGCTGCGGGCGAACTCCGCGCTGACCACCGGACCTCGTCCAACGCTGAACCGAACGACAATCCCATCCATGACCGAGCAGAAGAGGTGGATCAGTCAACGGTACTTGCAACGGCTCGAAGAGGCCCGGCAGGAATGGGCCCACTTCTCCCGGCAGATCAAGGAAGGGAAACGGAAGAATTTCGCACAGCATCTTGAAGACAGAGGACTGTTGCACGACGTTGTCGGGTGAGTGTTTGTGTGTAGGATTGCAATGGGTTTGCTTGAGAATCCGGCTAACGGGGGCGCGCTCTTCTTTTCCACCTCCAGGGATCGGGAGCTTCTGCACCGCGTGTTCACCGAGAAGAGGGCGGGTATGTATGCCGGCGTCGATCCTACCGCTCCTTCTCTTCATGTTGGACATATGTTGCCGTTTATGGTTCTGGCATGGGGCTATGTCTGGGGTCTGCCTGTTCACTTCATCGTAAGTCACACTCACGCCCCCCTCCCCCCGGGCGAGACAGTCTGGCTGACATCGAGGACAGCTTGGCGGCTCAACAAGCCGCATCGGTGATCCTACTGGGCGACTAGCGGGGCGAGAACAGGTCAAGGCATCGGTTCGAAAGGCAAACATGGCGTCGATGCACATTCAGCTGAAGCGGCTCGGCAAGAGTATTGAGGCTTACGGCCGAAGACATGGTTACGAGAGGCAATGGTCCTGGAGGCGGAGTATCACCAACAATAATACGTGGTGGACTAGTGTCACTTTCATGGAGCTCGTCCGAGATCTGGGCTCCTACATGCGTCTGGGCCCCATGCTTGGGAGGGATACGTGAGTTCTTTTGTTTCCGCCGCCAGCCATTGTCGTGGGTACTGATCGTCTGCAGCGTCAAGAACCGGTTGGAGAAAGGAGACGGAATGTCGGTTGCCGAATTCATGTATCCTCTCATGCAGGCATGGGACTGGTGGTATCTGTTCCGGAGGGGCGTGCAGGTCCAAGTTGGAGGCGCCGATCAGTACGGAAACATTCTGTTCGGCATGGAAGCCGTCAAGACGGCTAGCAAAAACACCGCCAACGAGCAGGAGCGCAATTTGTTGAAGGATGAAATCGACAGGCCTATCGGGATGACAACGCCCTTGCTCACGACTTCTTCCGGGGAGAAGTTTGGCAAGTCGGCTGGCAATGCGATCTGGCTTGACAAGGAGATGACATCCACCTTTGAGCTATATCAGGTACGAGAGAGCGCCTCGCATCTTCTTTTCAGGTTGACTAATACCCATCGCAGTTCTTTGTCCGTACTCCCGACGACGTTGTGGAGAAATACCTCAAGATGTTCACTTTCTTGCCCTTGCCGGAAATCGAGAAGATCATGGCGGAGCAGGTCTTGGACCCGTCCAAGCGCGTGGCCCAGCATGCTTTGGCCGCAGAATTCGTGGAACTCATTCACGGCAAACAGGAAGCGCAGGCAGTCGCCCTCCAGCACCGCCAACTCTTCCGCCCAAGATCCTCCACCGCCGAACCCACTCCTCTCCCTGGCCAGCCCAAGGCCCATCCCATCCCTCAGTCGCCGTACGCAAAGGATGCCAACATGGCGTCCGGCAATATTTACGCCCCTCAGACGAATTTCAGCAACATGCCCGCCCACCGAATGGAGCTCCCCAGATCTCTGGTCGAGAAGCAACCTTTACACAAACTCCTCTGGAGCTCAGGTCTGGTGAATTCCAAGAGCGAGGGACACCGTCTCGCTGCGAACGGTGGGGCGTATGTTGGAAGCCGCCCCGGCGCAAGCGGGCCTATGTCTGACAGCCTGGAATACACGCCCATCAGGGTCTGGCTTCCGGAGAGGACCAAAGAGTTTATCGTTGACGGAGATCTTCTGTTCCTCAGAGTAGGCAAGTGGAAGTTCAAGATCATCCAGATCATCAGCGATGAAGAATTCGCCAAGAAGGGACTGACCTGCCCGGGATGGGAGCCCGAGAGCGCGGAGTCCACGCCCTGAGCAGGGAAAGCTGGGGATAGCTATTCGCCTCTCAGTGTATAACAGAGACCTGTACATATATCGCATACCAAAACCAATATACTGTGTATCAATAGACTGCGACATGGACATGTACTCGGTCACTAGCAGTTGACTTACCCTGTAGTTTGATAGCATGATATGACAGCCAAGGCGGTGAGCGATGGCACAAAAGGAGCCCCCAAAAACCACTCAACGCGTCCGACGCGCGACGGCCCGCACGTCCATATCCTTATCGCCCGCCCATCCCCCAGTCCAGGGCCGCGCCTTTTCGATCCCTCTCCCCAAAACATCTCCCCTCCCAGCGTGTGGAATTGGCCCTTCTTCCCTTCCTCCGATAATCCATTGCAGCATGAAATAAACGCACACTTCAAAAAGACAAAGTCATCCAGATACTATCCGGACCCTTCCCCCCCTCCGTTCCAGAATGGCCAAAGGAGCCCCCGCCGCCTCGTCCCCTCCTCCGACCGCGACGCCTCCATCCTCCCGGGCGCTGAAACGAACCACCTCCAGCACGCAGAACATGAAGAGCCAGAAGTCCATCCTCGGATTCTTCCAGAAGTCATCGCCCTCGACCCCGTCGACGGCTCGCAAGGTCGTCGAGCCCGCCTCCTCGCCCGCCGAACGGGCTTCCATCCAGCGCGCGGGAGCCAACACCACCACCAGCAGTACCGAGAAGAAGAAGCCGCTGCAGCCGCAGCACCGTGTGCCCCATTTCAAGCAGGACTTGACGCCGGTGCCTAGTAGTGATCTCGTGATACCTGACGAGGACGATGATGAGAGACAAGAGCAAAATGCGGTGCAGGTATGGTGTGCTCGCTTCAAGTTAGTAATTGGATGTTTTGGTGTGACTGACTTGTTGAGGAGATGCAGGCTGGTGGTGTTGATGAGCAGCAGATGTTCACGTCTCCGTCGCGTCGGGTAAGAGATTCTTAGAACTCGGTACTTGGGGCGTACAGATGTGCTGACGGATGTGATGTTGCTCAAGGCTAGGAAGAAGGTCAATTATCTTGAATCGGATTCCGAAGGTGAAGAGGACGACGAGAAGATCTTTCGTCCCGGCCGCAGTAGTCGCAACAAGCGTCAAAAGGTGGCTGTAGAGAGTGAGGATGAGTTCAAGGAGGCTGCAGATGGCGAGGAATATTCTGATTATGGTTGGTTCAAAGCTCGACGTGGTACAGTATACAAGCGCTGACATTGCCTAGAACTGGACGACTTCATCGTGGCTGATGATTCGGACGAGGAGGCAAAGCCGGTCAAGAGGCGCACGAAACCGGCTGCTCGTCCCAAGACCAAGTCATCCCCTCTGCCGTTGCAGACGCCCGACGACGATGAGGATCTCGATTTGGACATCCCCGAAGCGACCGGCGGCACGGCGATGAAATGGACGTATGACCCTGAACACTCCGAACCCCGGCAACAACGGACGGCGCCGACGACGCCTAAGCGTCCCAGTAATGGCAAGCAGAAAGCACACGTTACCGAGCCGGAGCAGCGATACGCCTGGCTGGCACATCTTCGAGACATCGATGGCCATCCCATCGGTCATCCGGAGTATGACCCTCGGACTCTATATATACCTCCCTTGGCTTGGTCCAAGTTCTCGCCGTTCGAGAAGCAGTACTGGGAGATCAAGCAGAAGTTCTGGGACACGGTGGTGTTCTTCAAGAAGGGCAAGTTCTACGAGCTCTATGAGAACGACGCCACCATTGGCCACCAGCTCTTTGACCTGAAGCTGACCGATCGCGTGAACATGCGCATGGTGGGTGTCCCGGAGATGAGTCTGGACCATTGGGCCAATCAGTTCGTTGCCAAGGGCTTCAAGATCGCTCGGGTGGACCAGATCGAGTCGGCTTTGGGCAAGGAGATGCGCGAAAGAGACGGGAAAGATGGCAAGAAGAAGGCCGGCAAGGAGGACAAGGTGATCAGGCGAGAGTTGGCTTGCGTCTTGACTGCGGGTACACTCGTCGAAGGCTCGATGCTTCAAGACGATATGTCTACGTACTGCGTCGCCATCAAGGAGGCACTTATTGAGGATCGTCCAGCTTTCGGACTGGCCTTCGTCGACACTGCAACTGGCCAATTCTTCTTGTCGGAGTTTGTCGATGACGCCGATATGACCAAATTCGAGACCTTCGTGGCGCAGACGCGTCCTCAGGAACTGTTGCTCGAGAAATCCACCGTCTCCACCAAGGCACTCCGCATCCTGAAGAACAATACTGGTCCGACAACTATCTGGAACTACTTGAAACCCAGGAAGGAATTTTGGGAAGGCGATATTACCGTCCGCGAACTTGATGCGAGCGACTACTTCGTCTGTGAAGATGGGGACAACCTGCAGGCGTGGCCTGAGGCTCTGCGCGAGGCACGGGACAAAGAGCTGGTGATGTCTGCTTTCGGGGCGCTGGTGCAATATCTCCGGATCCTCAAGCTCGACCGTGACCTCATCACCATCGGCAACTTTGCCTCGTACGACCCCATCAAGAAGGCTTCCAGCCTGGTGCTGGACGGGCAGACTCTGATCAACATGGAGATTTTCGCCAACTCTTTCGACGGAACCTCCGATGGGACCTTGTTCCAGCTCCTGAACCGCTGCATCACACCGTTCGGCAAGCGCATGTTCAAGCAGTGGGTGTGCCATCCGTTGGTGGATGCGAAGAAGATCAACGCTCGACTGGACGCGGTGGACGCGCTCAACGCCGACTCGAGTGTGCGGGATCAGTTCTCTTCTCAATTAACCAAGATGCCTGACTTGGAGCGACTCATCTCGCGGATCCACGCAGCCAACTGCAAGGCCCAAGACTTTGTTCGTGTCCTTGAAGGCTTCGAGCAGATTGAGTACACCATGAGTCTTCTTCAAGAGAGCGGCTCTGGGGAAGGTATAATCGGACAACTTATCAATGCGATGCCGGACCTCAACAGCATGCTCGAGTACTGGAAGACGGCCTTTGACCGCACCAAAGCTCGAGAGAACGGCATTCTGGTCCCGAAGCCTGGAGTGGAGGAAGACTTTGACAGTTCTCAGGAGCACATCGAACAGATCCACCAGCAGCTCGACAACCTCCTCAAGAAACACCGGCGCGAGCTGGGCTCCACGGCGATCTGCTACCGCGACAACGGGAAGGAGATCTACCAGCTCGAAGTGCCCGTCAAGATCAAGAACATCCCGAAGAACTGGGACCAGATGTCGGCCACCAAGCAGGTGAAACGGTACTATTTCCCCGAGCTGCGGGCGCTCATCCGCCAACTGCAGGAGGCGCAGGAGACGCACAGCCAGATCGTCAAGGAGGTTGCGGGCCGGTTCTATGCCCGGTTTGACGAGAACTACACCACGTGGCTGGCGGCGGTGCGGATCGTGTCGCAGCTCGACTGCCTGATCAGTCTGGCCAAGGCATCCTCGTCGCTGGGCCACCCCAGCTGCCGCCCTACTTTTGTGGACGACGAGCGCAGCGTGCTCGAGTTCGAAGAGCTGCGCCACCCGTGCCTGTTGTCCTCGGTCGACGACTTCATCCCGAATGACGTCCGTCTCGGCGGGCCCCGGCCCAACATCGACCTTTTGACCGGTGCCAACGCGGCCGGTAAATCCACCGTTCTTCGCATGGTATGGCCCTATGACCTCCCCAGTATCACTTTTCCCTTGAGCCTCCAGCGCGTTGAAGGACAGCAATTTGTAACTGACTCAAAACAGACCTGTATCGCCGTGATCATGGCCCAAATCGGCTGCTACCTGCCCTGCACCTCGGCCACCCTAACCCCCTGCGACCGGATCATGTCGCGCCTCGGCGCCAACGACAACATCTTCGCGGCGCAGTCGACCTTCTTCGTCGAGCTGTCGGAAACGAAGAAGATCCTGGCCGAGGCCACGCCGCGCTCGCTGGTCATCCTCGACGAGCTGGGCCGCGGCACCTCCTCGTACGACGGCGTGGCCGTCGCCCAGGCCGTCCTGCACCACGTGGCCACCCACATCGGCGCCCTGGGCTTCTTCGCCACGCACTACCACTCCCTGGCCGCCGAGTTCGAGCACCACCCGGAGATCGCGCCCAAGCGCATGGCCATCGACGTCGATGAGGCCGAGCGCCGCGTCACCTTCCTGTACAAGCTCGAACCGGGGGTCGCCGAGGGCAGCTTTGGCATGCACTGTGCGTCCATGTGCGGGATCCCCGGCAAGGTGATCGAGCGCGCCGAGGTGGCGGCGAAGCAGTGGGAGCACACGAGTCGGTTGACGGAGAGTCTGGAGCGGAGGAAGGGGAAGGGGGATGGGGCGGCGGCTGTTGTGGGGATGGGATGGTGGAGTGATGTTGCGTGGGCTTTGCGGGAGGAGGATGACGCTCGTGTAGTGGAGGAAGGGGAGGTCGGGGTGAGTGAGCGGAGTCTGGATGTGTTGCGCCGCGCGATCGAGGCCTTGTAAGGCATCGCGGTGCGCTTCCCTTCTAAGCTGCTCTTCTATGTCGGAAGATGTATGATGTGAGAATTGGTGGCAATGTTCGACGCTTACCCCGGTCTTTTCATCGGCTGTTGTCCTTTATATGTCGGTGTTCGTGGCGTTCCGTGGGTCTTACTCTGGCAAGTCGGCTGGTGATAAAATTTCTAAGGGAGTTAGTCTAAAGAGCGTTTTCGGGTTATATAACTATCAGGTGGCTGACTTTAAGAATATAAGATGGTCCTTCTGAATAACCTTAGGGGCGGGTGTGAATAGAAGGACAGGCAACAACCACGCCATCCAAATTCCATTGTTCGACCATCAAGTCCGGCCAAATGCGCAGGTCTTGATGCTTCCGCGCCGCTCCTCCACTGGTACTTGATAAATGTGTAGGTTCTGTAGGTAGGTACTGTATTTAAGTATTGACGGGTTGGTTTCCGACCTCAGTTCTCCCTCTACCGATCCGAATCTACCCTTCCCACTCTCCTCCAGCTCTCACTGTTGACCTCAGTGCTACTAACTTATACCTAGCAGACAACATAAGCTCCCCCCTCCAAGCCTTCTCGACCGCAGATCACAACGCGACGAGCAAGAACCTACTGAAGATCCAGCAGAAGCTGCTAAACCCCCGGAAGCTATGATGTGCCATTTCAACACGGATTAGAGACAGCCAGGCAGAGAGGTGCCCCGGAAGCTGATCTTATCAGACCAGCCCCTCTTCTACCTGATCAACTGAAAGCAGTGAAGCATAAGTCTCCGAAACAAAAGCATTCTCCTCTTTCTTCCCCTTCCCCTTGTCCTCAAACCCCATGTCACATACCGTTATTCAACAACACCCTCTACACCCTCATGTCTCTTTTCCCAACCACGTGTTCTTTACAAAGTGAGTACTCCATGGAGCTTAACCTCCCCCTTGTTGAAGAGACATAACCCCTCCTGCAAGATCTTATGGCATTTACAATCAGAACGCTCTACACTCTCCCCCCGCTTCAGGGAGGTAAGAAGCAGCGCACAGCTTATATCCAATACAGCAGATCCATCACAGCAGATTCATCATTGTAGCTTCTATGCATTGTCTCGGCTCTATGGAACATGACTCGTGAACGCCATCAACGTCGCTGGATCAATCCATGGCAACGACATGTCGATCAGCTCGGATGCCCCGAACAGATCTTCAAAATCCGGAATCGACGCTGACTCCAACGAGAAAGGCTCGAACCCTTCTCTGCTGGAGCTCCCGTGCAGCAGACTAGTCCCACGATGGCCCGTGTCATCATCGACAGGCTCTTGCCCCTCACCCGGTCTAATATAAGAGTCCGATCCACCGAAGAGGAAATTCAGAGTCGATTCCGTATCGGCAACAGAGGTCCACAGACGCGGAGAGGCCATCAACTTCATGATATTCGCGAAGGCTCGTTGGTCGATCGCATGGCGCTGATGCAGGATGTCATGGAGATACGCCAGTCGCCGCAGCACGAGCAAAGCGCCATGCCGTGTCTCCGTGTATGACGACTCTAACAGCTGGATGCTGACGAGGATCAATTCTTTGGCCTGGGTGATCTCTGCTGGAGTTCGCAAATGCCCGAAACAGATCAGGTCGAGGCATAGAAAGGTGCCGGCCGTTACCGCCGAGCACGCCACGGCCCAGAATTTCTGGAAGTGAGAGCATGGGTCGTGGTATCTGCGCTGCAGGATACGTTTGGCTGCTGATACAGCGTTGGCGTGGACCAGGTCGTTGGTTGCTTTGGGGTTGCTCAGTAGCTGGGGGATGAGGGCGACGCTGAGATTGATCCGCCACGTGTCGAGGAGGTTCCACACCAAGAAGCGCTGCACATTCATCCATGATGGGACTCCTTCGAGCGGAACTCCGGATGTGTCTGTCCCATTGTAGAAGAGATGGCGTGGGAAGGAGGACGCCACAGAGTCAATCTCTTTAACGGAAGCCTGTACGGTGCTGCCGCTCCACTCCATGATTGATCTGACCGTGTTCTGCATGGTGGCGGCTAGTTGTGCCATGGCCTTGTGATACTCGAAGGGAGACGATACGTTAGAGTCACTCGAGTAGTCCGGTGTATAAGATTCATCGCTGGTCTCTAGTATCGTCGTGAACGACCCAGGGTGGATTGAGATTGGACGAGACCACACAGTCATCCTAACGACAGTAAGCGTTGAGCGCGCTACAAGGAAGGCCAATACCCACCAATCGACAATCACCAAAGTCCACCACAGTCGTCGATATACATTGATAGGCGTATCAGCCTGGGTGTCTCGCAGCGAGTGAGGTAATTCGCAGCCTTCCCCAAGACGATCCAAGCCAACCAGTCTAGCCACGTTCACAGCCAAGCCGTGTAGAATATACTCTCGACTAGACTGTCCGAGGTTCTTGTGGACGATATTGAGGATTGTAAGGGCTTGTACCGTCAAGACACTGGGCTTACTGACGTAATCAGCGTGCTCCAACTCTTTGACAGCAGCGTCGCACCAAATGCGACACAGCTGCGTGGTCATCCTGCTGAGCGACATCTCCCCCGATCTCCCCGTCAGATAGCTCTCGTGGAAGAACTGGAAGCCCTCGATCATCTCATCGTTCATGAAATATACCCCTACCTAGTGAAACGTCAGTCTCAAGCCCCGGACTCTGCATGACGGCAGGTCACCTACAGCTAACACGCTCAAATACACCGCATTCCAGCCGTGAGCCCTCGAATTGCCAGTGTCCATCAACTGATCCCAGAACGCACGATGCTCGTCAGCAAAGACTGCCGGCTCCAGGGCACAGTGAACCCACGCCAAATGCGTGAGCGAGAACCGCACAATCACCTCGCTCCAGTGCCGCGCCGGCAGGATAATCAGGACATGATCATCTCGCGGACGAAGAGGATCGACCCCTCCATCGTGCGATGATTCAGCCAAAAGCCCAAACGGTAGCCTCTGGAAGTCATTCAATATCTTCTCCGAAGAATGAGACCGCTCTGCCGCAGGCACCGGCCGGAAGACCTCAGTCTCTGCCTCGGGCTTCAGCGCCTCCGCCTCGGGCCGTTGGAGGACGGACTCCAGCTGGCGGATGCGGGTCTTGAGACTGAGGTTCTCCTGCACCAGCCTGCAATTAAGGGTCGATTCGCTCTCATCCGAGTCTTCTTCGTCCACAGCACTACGGTACTCGCTGATCAGGAACCGCGCCCTCCACTAGAAGAATAGGTAGGGCTCACACAGTCACCTTGCCATGGACCTTGACGACCTCTCGTGCGCAGGCCGCCGATTCGCCGCGCCGGATGCAGGCGTCGCAGGGGATCTTCTTGGAGCACTTGACTTTCCGGCGAGCACATTGGATGCACGTGCGAGGCACTCGCTGGGTCTCGCGCATGTGCTGGGGCATGAGGGGTGGAGATGGCTCTCGGAATTAGGGGTTTTTGGTTGGCTGTTTCGAACTTGAGTTGAAATGAGGGGCTCCTGCTATTCAGGGGAGTATAATGAGAGTGTAATCCGAGAAAGTGGTGTTCGGATCTTGTACACTTCGGGTGAGCGCGGGTGAGTTTTATTATCTGGACTTGACTTATAAGTTGCCTAGAGATTGGCAGGTGCCATGTGACCACCGCTCCTGCCGTTTGTGGTAAAATCCGGGGTTCGGCTGTGCCTTCCCCACAAAAGCGGGGATGTTTTTTGTTGGTACACGTACGAGTAAGTGACTACGTACAAGTACTCATTTTACCATTTTTTTTATTATTACATTATCCAAATGCTGTTCACCAAGAACACTCAACAAGTAGAGCAGTCCCCTCCCTTCAACTTCACCCTCTGTCATGCCCTAGCTCACCTCTTCTAATCAGATTTCTACACCTTTACCATCAACCGCATACTTCATCGTCAGCGACCTGATCTTCGGCCCGAAGATAAACACCGGCAGCCCTAGGGCCGAGATCACCCCCATGATGATCGCACAGATCTCGAAGCTACCCTGAAAGCCCTTCTGCGCGATGAATTCCGTAATACCGAAGGAAATCCCGAACGAGATGAATCCACGGATCGCACAAATGAGCACCAGGATCGGCGCGGCGCGCTCACCGTAGCTATCCAGCGTGTATGTGAACCCATTCAGGATGATCCCGATGTAGCCGAAGTACATGCCATTGAATGTGGTGACGATGGCCCACGACGACCAGTCGGCCGGGTGCGAGCCCGCGCGACCGTAGATGATCGTGGAGATCAGCACGACCGCAATGGGGAGGATGATGGGGATGAGACGCATCTCGGGCGCCACCACCCCGCCGCGGCGACGGGCAATCCACCGGTGCAGGCGGTCGCCGCCGTAGCCCAGGATCGGCACCATGAGCATCGAGACCACGATCTGGCCGCCTTGGACCAGGCCCAGGCTGGTGTCGGGGTAGCTGTAGGGAGGTGCGGCCAGCAACGGGGCGTATTCGGTGACGCCGATGACATAGATCCCCAGGGAGATGCTGTTCATCAGCACCACCCACAGGACCCCGGGAAAGAGGATGCACTGGGCCATGTGCTTCCAGCACAGCGCCGCGGCGCCCCAGTTGGCGGGGCCGTGGTAGATCTTCATGCTGTGGCGGAAGGTTCGGGCTTGATACCGCGTGTAGTCCAGGGCGACCGGGTGCTTGGTCGTTGCGCGCAAGACATTGAGCTCTTGCCCCTCGTGGTGGATGTGGACGCGGCCTTCAAAGGCATCGGTCGGCCGGTCGTACAGGGACTCCGGCACGAAGAACAGGGCCACCACGAACACCACCCCGCTCGCAATGGCGAAGATCCCGTACCACCACCGCCAGCCCAGAGCGATGACGAGGTAGGATGTCGCGATCGTCAGCGCTGCGGATCCGATCGACTGGATAGCACTGAACCAGGCAAGCCTGCTGCTGCGCTCGTGGACGAAGTGGATTTCCTGCGTCGAGTGCACTTAGTGATTGACCGGAGATGGAGGCGGGTAGTCGGGGTTTGGCTTACTTGGATGATCAGCGGACACAAGGCCTCCGATTGACCGGCCGCCAGCGAGAGAATGTCCCGTCCGGCGATGTGCGATCCTAGACTCTTACTCGCAGCGCACCAGATGGACCCTACCGTTAGAACCAGAGCCGAGGCAAGGAAAATCGGCCTCCGCCCCACGGCCATGGCCAGCGGCATAGCAATCAGGTTCCCAATACCCATGAACAGGGTCGGGTAGGTCATGAGATCGTTCGTTCGCGGGTCATAGTTGTAGTAGGCGGCCATGGTCGTGGTGAAGGGGCCCATTCCGGAGGTCAAAAGAACTCCCAAGACGGAGACTGTGCCTCTGCAGTTAGATCCAATATCCCAGGTTGGGTGATGATAGCCACAACTCACACATTCCCAGCACAAAGGTAATGACCCACTTATGCCACTGGGGCAGATTGAGAGGATCTGCGGCGTGTTAGCCCTCACCTTCCTGATCGTTGAGCAAGTTCATCCATACCTCGTGGATCGGGTGAAGGGGTGGGAATCAACACGACTTCGCCATCTTCGACCAGCTTGACCGTGCCCAGTGGCTGGAGCTGGTCTGGAGCGGCCGGCTTGACCACTTCCTCGTGCGTGGTATCGATGTCTTTGGTATCCATGACTGAATTCCGGATAGATTCTCTGCTGCGAGAAAGCTCCAGTCTAATGCGTGATCATCCGCCGTTTCAGGCGATGCAATGCAGATATATCTGAGAATTCCTTCCCTTCCTCCACCAGGAAGAAGCACTTTCGCCTCTCAGACAGTAAACTTACCCCACGGGGTATACCCTTGCACCCGGCCCTCTTGCCCCCACCCCCCCCTTGTCATGTTACTCATGTAGAATTGATAACTCCAAGGTGGTCATTGGCGTCACTGACAGGGTGGGGAAGAGTTAATTGAACGTGGAGCCGAGAGCATAATAGCGGTTGTTGAGGACCGGGGGAAGTGAAGTGGGAGGGAAAGGTTTTAGTGGATTGGTGGATGGATCATCATCTCACCCGAGCTCGCCCGAAGCGGGTTTGAGTTGCGCTCGCTTACCAGGCAAGTTACGGAGTACCATGGAATCCATGAATGGATTGCATCGGTTGGGACTAGAGTCTGTGCACGGCTATTGGGAGGGGATGGCCACGTGTTGACCAGACCAGACCAGACCTAACTTATCTTGACGTGATCCACTTTTGCTTCTAACGGGTTGGATGGTAGACTACCTCCGTCGTCCGTCTTCGTACCTAGTATACACCAGCATTAACGGAACGGCAGACTGCTTTAGGTACCGAGGAATTGCTCCGGAATGTTGTCCAATTAGGATGAAGTTGGAGATCTACGCCTTAGAGCAATGAATGTCCAAATCACAATCATAACAGGAGTATCATTGTCAAACCAAATAAAACAAAACAAAACAAAACAAAACAAAACAAAAGATCTAGTAAGGAATCACCCCCGCCAACTTCAACAACCGATCCGTCCGCACCGGCTTCGTCAGGGGCTCATCTCTCTCCAACGGATCAACGCGTTCCTCCCCATCCACCGTCACCGTCGCCTTGCCATGGGTATACAGATTGGTATGGGGCCAATGGGTGGTGGTCTCGAAGTGCTCGAACAGCTCCGCCTTGGTGCGGCGGTCCGCGTCGGTCATCCAGGCCGCGGGCGTGTAGGTCGCATACACGATGGTGCGCACGACGTCCGACTCGCCGAACCGCGCCCAGTGGACCTGCCGCGAGTCCCAGATGATGAGGTCGCCGGGCTCGGCGCAGACCTTGACCAGCTCGCAGCCGCGCGCGGTGTACCACGCCAGGTCCACCTCGGAGAAGGGGTGGAAGTCCTTGTGTTTGGCCGTGCGCCACGGCGTCGGCCCCGTCACGGGGTTCGCCGCGAAGAACTCGTCGAACAGGGGCGCCGACCCCTTCATCACCACCAGCCCGCCGTCCGCGGGGCCGGCCTCCGACAGATTCACGATCCCCTGCACGCACTGCATGCCCGACCGCTCGGGCGCCTGGTCCACGTGCGGCCACGGCTTCGAGTCGTACTCGCCCACGATCGACTGCGGGAGCGTGATGTTCACCGTGTCGAAGGAGACGACCAGCTCGTCCGTTTCCCAGAGCTTGGCGAATGGGGCGATCACGCCGGGTTCACTTCGTGCAGCAGTGTGAGTATTGAGGTCGATGTGAGGGGGTGGATGTGACTGAAAGAGGGGGAGGGGGAATCACGTACCAACGAACGTCCCAGACGTACTTCTCGTGCGCCGCCGAGAAGTGCAGGTACATCCCGCCCTTCCAGCTCTGCGGCAGGTTCTCTTTCTTCCAGGTGGATTTGTCGTGGCGGTCGAACCCCAGCCCGAATGACTCGAGCCAGTCCAGCGCCCGGCTCTGGTATTCCTGCGCCCGCTCCGGTGTCAAGGCGCCCTTGATGACCGCGTAGCCGTTGCGGAAGAATTCGTCGCGGAAGTCGCCATACTGAGGTTTCGGGTTCGGGCTCGACTGGAGCTTCGTCGGCGCCACCGGAGTGGCCTCAGGCGTGTCGATGCGGGAGGGGGCCATGATGTGAGATCGTATGTATGTTAGCAACTTAGCAAGCAAGATGGAAACTGTAGATGTGGAAATCTTGAGTGACGGCGGGAGAGGGTATCATTCGGCCTTTTCTATGACCTCTCTGGATGGTCATGCCATTGGGACCGGAATCCGACTTGGCGTCTCCTGGTACCAGAGAGTACACGGTCGAATTGGCCTTCCTCCGAAGGACTGCGACATAGTTGCTCAAGCTGATCCGGTCTAGTGGCTCTGTTGAGTGTGGGGGTGGTCAGCAGGACTGGGCAATCTTGTGGAAGTGGAGAATCCAGAAATGGTGGAGGATCCATGACAATCTCACCCGAACTCGCCCGCCGAGCCATTTGGGAGTAAACTATGCATCAAGTTCAATCACTGTACAACAAACTCGGCCGAGGTGGCGAACCACGAACCACCACGAACCATGAACCATCCATCCCACGCTAAAGACAGCCTCGGCCAACTCCAAATGTCCACAACCCGGTTGTCAGATACCTGGAGGAGTTGCAAGTGGGAAACAATGTGACGTTCAATTACCAGTGGGGCCCATCTGGCGTGGGGAATAACAAGCATGCTCAGTACCGGTGCACCAGGAAGTGCTCAAAAGAAGGGGAGCGCCCTCACCTGGTCCAGGAGGAACAAACAGTAACCTACCAGAAGGGCACCGATCACAATGCCTTCCCCCGTGCCGGTCGCGACACGTCCGATCAACAAGCCCACCGTGGGCAGAAACAACTACCAGCCCTTTGGTTTCCGCGAGGAAACTCTCCCCCAAGGCTGGAGTCAAGACGGCTCACGTCCGCTGCCCTGCGACATCCACGCCTCCCACGACGTGGGAATCCAAGTCCGAGACGGCAGCACTCTCTACTGCGACATCTATCGGCCCGCCAACTCGGACAAGCCGGTCCCGGCCATTCTGGCGTGGAGCCCCTTCGGGAAGAAATTCAATGGCATCACATTACTCAAGTTCCTGCCATGGGGGCTGGGAATCCCCGAGGGTGTTCTCAGCGGCCTGGAGAAGTTCGAGGGGCCCGATCCAGCCGAGTTCGTGCCGCGCGGGTTCGCCATCGTCAACGTAGACGCTCGTGGATCGGGCGACTCGGACGGCACGGTGGGGATCATGGGCACGCAGGAAGCCGAGGATGGCTACGATGTGATTGAGGCCATCGCCAAAATGCCCTGGTGCAACGGCAATGTCGGACTGGCCGGCAACTCCCACCTGGCCATCGTTCAGTGGTTCATCGCGGCATTGCAGCCGCCATCCCTCAAAGCCATCGCCCCGTGGGAGGCATGCAGTGATCTCTACCGCGAGCAATTCGTCCGGGGCGGGGTCTTCGATGCTGGTCTCTTTGACTGGATCATCGACCACAACATCCAGGGTCACGGCGGCGTCGAGGACTTCCACGAGATGTACCGGCGCAATCGGACCGCGGACACTTTGTACTGGAAGGACAAACGACCAGACTTCAGCAAGATCCAAATCCCCGCCTACATCACGGCCTCCTACACCAGTTTCGTGCACACGATGGGCTCGCTACGCGGATGGCTTCAGATCCCCTCCGCGCACAAGTGGCTGCGGCTGTGCCCCTGGCAGGAATGGTACGACATGTGGAACTGCAAGGACTCCGCCCATGAACTGGCGTCCTTCTTTGACCACTACCTGAACGGCGCCAGCAACGGATGGGAGCAAACCCCGCGGGTCCGAACCACCATCTTACGCTTCAATCAAGACCCGTTGTCCGACGTCGTCGAGGAGGACTATCCCATCCCACGCACCGACTATCGCAAGATGTACTTCCACGCCGACGGCACCCTTCAAACCGAGGCCCCCAGCAGAGCGTCATCGCTGTCGTACAATTCGGAAACGTACCAGGACTGTGCAAGCTTCACCTATACCTTCCCAGCCCGCACCCGGCTGGCAGGCATCCCCAAAGCGGTGGTATACATGTCCTGTCCCGATTTCCATGATCTCGATGTCTATGTGCTGGTGCGCAAGCTTGATACACAGGGCAAGGCGCTGCTCAATTTGAACATCCCCTGGTCGTCCATCGCGGAGCACGGTGTCAGTCCGGACGACGTTGAGAGTCTCTCTCCACGGGAGAAGACCAATCTCATGTTCCACGTGGGCTCTTTGGGGATCCTGCGGGCGTCAAGACGCGCCATTGATCGCAAGCAATCTCTGCATGAGAACTTTCCCTTCCACCCTCACGACCGGGACGAGTACATCAGCCCGGGCGAGGTCGTAAAGTTGGAGATTGGGATCTGGGCGATGGGGGTGGAGTATGAAGCCGGGGAGAGCGTGCGCGTGGAGATCCATGGGAACAGCCCGCTCCTGCGGGGAGAATTCAAGGAGGATAACGAATTTCAGGAGCTGGCGTCGCACGGGACGCATATCGTTCACATTGGGGGAGAGCAGTCTTCGCATATCATCCTGCCGTTCGTTTGAGATGTAGTACTTATTATAGAGATATCACGCGATGAACGATAAAGAACGAGACACCAGCCAGTACTCAGATTACGAAAGTGATTGTAGATATACCAGAAGTAGAAGCAAGAAAATTGATTGATTAATGAATTTATTCCTGTAACTGTCGCAGAAATCTGATCAAACGAAGGAGAGCCCTCTCATGCACGTACGCCCAGCGAGCGTACGATCAAGGGTCATACCAACGGGTCAGGGGACACCACCAAGTAAAAATTTTGAATCAGAGATGCCTTCATCGCGTCCGTGAATAACAAGGTATGGTGTGCCGAACGCCTTTCTCAGCCTCGCTCCATCCCGGGATTCCCAGCAGCCCTTAAACCCCGAAAGGAGAGCCAGCTGGGGCCCAAGAGGAGAGATGATCGAAAGATACACGCTAGGCTTTCATCATCTGGACGGGTAGAATGTTAGCGATTGTGTTTATCAAGTGGTTCGGTTCGAAGGTAGCACTCACTTCAAGAAAACTTGGAAGGATGAAGAAGAAAATAAAAAGATGGGCGGAGAATTCCTTTTTTGTAGTGGGCCGGACAGCGCTAGGATCGATGAGGAAAGCGGAAAGATCCCCCGGCCATCTGCCGTGTTGTGCCGCCTTGGAATCCGCGGCTATCGGATCATCGTCCCACTCGGCGTCACTCGACAAACAACCTTCTGCACTTATGTTTGACCTCAATTGGCCTCTCAGACTTCCGTGAAGCTTTGCGAGGACTGATTGCACTTGATGATGTTCTTGGCCAGGGCGTCGCGATACTCCCCTCAGCTCCGCGCCAGCTATGTTGAGATTTCCAACTACATCCGCGGCCGACGGCCGGCGTTGAACCGGACTTTCTATGCGCAGAGCTCCCCTCTACGATTTTCTCATAGCGAAGACTCGCCTCGCGAGCACCTTCCACCTACTAAGAATACATCTGAACTGCTTGAAAAGTTCAAGAACTCGAGTAAGTGGTTCCGATCACTCCGCCCTACCTGTTCTCGCGATATCCCGAGACATTGCGACAATATACCATCGCTAACCATCATCACCTGCTACAGTCGAGTTTCCATCCCCGACCTATGACTTCGAGACATTCCTCGCCAACGCCCAGCCCGACGAGGAGGTCGTCTTACAAGGCTATGTCGGCAACCGCAGGGAGCTGTCCAGCAAGCTCGCCTTCGTCCGTTTGACGGACCCGACCATGAAACACAGCGTGCAGCTGGTCTCGACCAAGAAGAGTGGAACCCTGGCCGCCCTCAAAACGGTGCGCGCGCACAGCCCGGTGATCATCAAAGGCACGGTCCAGCGAAAGCAAGCAAAGGATGCGGAGATGGCCGAGCGAGACCCGTGGGAGATCGTCCTGGGCGAGATCCAGGCCCTGAATGAGTTCCCGAACGACATCGTCATGACGGGCGATCACGTCCACCCGCCCAAGCACCGCCATCTGCAGCTGCGCTCGAGCAGCGAGCTGCGCGAGGCGCTGCGGTTCCGCGCCGAGGCCCGCAACGTTTGCAGACAGGAGCTGGAGCAGTCGCGCCCGGCGTTCGTGGAGATCGAGACCCCGTTGCTCTTCAAGTCGACCCCGGAGGGCGCGCGCGAGTTCCTGGTGCCCTCCCGCAAGCGCGGATTCGCCTATGCGCTGCCCCAGAGCCCGCAGCAGTACAAGCAGATCCTCATGGCCAGTGGGATCCCGCGCTACTACCAGTTCGCGCGGTGTTTCCGCGACGAGGACCTCCGCGCCGACCGCCAGCCGGAATTCACCCAGGTACGGTCCCCCCGTCTCTTCTCTCTGTTCCAATGACTGACCACGCTGCCCGCAGCTGGATCTTGAAATGTCCTTCGCCACAGGCAACGACGTGATGCAGGTCATCGAAGGCGTGATCCGCCGTCTGTGGTCGACGCTGATGCCGGAGCCCGCGCCCTCGGGCCCCTTCCGCCGCATGCCCTACCAAGAAGCGATGAGCCGGTACGGCTCCGACAAGCCCGACACGCGGTACGGGATGGAGATCTCGCGCATCGACTACCTGCTCCCGGTCGACCTCGTGCAGAAGATCACCCCGCTGACCGATCCGGTCGTCGAAGTCTTCAAGCTCGAAGGCAACGACAACGACCCGGCGGCCACGCAGGAATTCATCACCCAGTTCCTCGACTCGCCCGAGGGCGCGCCCTTCAACGAGAACCCAGACGGCGGGCCGGGGATCTTCGTAGTGGACGCCCGCAAACCGCTCAGCGGGCTGCAGCCCTTCGGCTTCGAGGCCGCCGAACACCTGGAGACGACGCTGGGCATCGAGCACGGCGACCTGCTGGTCATCCAGGCTCGGCCACAGAACTCGCTGACGGGCGGCTCGACGGCCCTGGGCAGCCTCCGCCGCGCGCTGCACGCCGCCGCCGTCGCGACGGGCTTCAAGCCCGCCATCCCCGGCTTCGAGTTCCTGTGGGTGGTCGACTTCCCGCTGTTCACCCCGGCGGCCGCCGGCGACTCCGCCGAGGAACCGGGCCAGGGCGGCGCCGCCGGCTTCTCGGCGACGCACCACCCGTTCACCGCGCCCAAGACGGCGGCGGACGTCGACCTGCTCCTCGGCGCGGACCCGACCCGGGCCACGGCGGACCACTACGACCTGGTGGTCAACGGGGTCGAGCTGGGCGGCGGCAGCCGCCGCATCCACGACGCCGCCGTCCAGGAGTTCGTCTTCCGCGAGGTGCTGCGCATGCCCGACCACCGCGTCGCCGACTTCGCCCACCTGCTCGGCGCTCTGCGCGCCGGCTGCCCCCCGCACGCCGGCTTCGCCCTGGGCTTCGACCGCCTCGTCGCCGTCATGCTCGGCCGCGACTCCGTCCGCGACGTCATCGCCTTCCCCAAGATGGGCCGCTCCGGCGAGGATCCCATGGTCAAGGCCCCCAGTCCCATCAGCGACGAGGCGGCTAAGATCTATCATCTGGCGGTGAAGGAGTGAGTCTGCCGCTTCACTTGCCGGTAGTCGTGGTCTCTCTGTCTGTGTACGAATTCAATCAAGCGAGGCGGGATGACAGGTCAGTTTCCCGGGATGTATGGCCGGCTGGCTTATGTCCTGTACTGTATTATTACTTTATGTATAGAATCTAGAAAAAAGACATCTTTACTTCATTCATCACTCGGATATAGTGCAGCCTTCAGTACTGTTGATATAGTACAGCTAGCTCCATCTACCGAGTCCGTCACCAGAGTAAGATCACAAGCACATAAGAAACATCAAAGCTCCACGCGACGGCTGTTATACAAGACAAGGCAAGGAAGGCCATCGAAACCAACCTGAAAAAAAAAGAAAAGACAACGCCCGTCCCACATTGAACCAAAACAGGGAATCTAGAATATAACACGTAAACAAATGAGTGGGACCAGAATGAGATGCACTAAAGAAAATTCACATATAATCCCCCAGGCCATGCCAATCATTCTATATCTGGTTTCTGTTTTACACGGTTTTTGGTATTTGATTTTGTTTTTTGATCCGGTCTAGGCCCGGGAAGTCACCTGCGTGGCGGTGGAAGCAGCAGCAGCAGCAGCAGCTTCCTCCTCGTCCACGTACACATAGTCGGCCTCATCATCCTCGAGGTCATCGGGCTGTCCGAACGCTTGCTGCCACACGCCATCCCAGAGACCCTTCTTGGTGACCAGGCCGCCGACCAGCAGGACGGGGAGCTGCCAGATACTCGCCCAGAAGAGGCCGCGGGCGCTGCCCTGGCCGCCCTGGTACTTCCAGAAGCGGTAGGCCTCCTTGACGAGCCAGGCGTTGGCGAGGGAGCTGCTGACCAGGAACCCGTGGCCGACGACGCCGACCCACCACAGGCCGATGGAGATCGGGAACATCAGCACCGAGTAGCGCAGCGCGACGCGCGCGTTCATGGCCGGGTTCTTCCAGCACAGCATCTTGTAGCCGGCGCGTTTGTACTCCTCGCGGATGGTGTGCGACAGCGCGTTGAAGTGAGGGAACTGCCACGCGAACAGGATCCCGCCGAGCAGCCAGCCGCCGACGCTGTCCTCGCTGAAGAGCATGTCGCGCCATGTGTCGTGGCCCGTCGTCGCGGTCTGCCCGGCCGCGGCCACCCAACCCATCAGCGGCGGAATGGCGCCGACGATAGCTCCGACCCAGGTGTTGCTCACGTGGATGCGCTTGAGCGGGGTGTAGATGAAGCCGTAGAGGATGATGTTCCCCGCGGAGAGGGCGGTGACCGTGGGGTTGGTGCCGAAGTAGAGCAGGCCCAGCCCGGAGATCGCGGTCGCGATCGCAAAGAGCACGGCCCCGCGGCGGGAGACGAGACCGCGGACGAGCGGGCGGTTGCGGGTCCGCGACATGAGGGCATCGTACTTGGGCTCGAGGAACATGTTGATGGTGTTGGCGCAGCAGCTGGACAGGAAGGTGCCCGCCGTCAGGTAGAGGAATGTGAGGGTGGAGGTTGAGAGGGTCGGAAGCGGGGTCATCGAGGGATCCAGGGCGAGGAGCGTCGAAATTGGGTACATGCCGTAGGCTGCACTTGCGCTCAGCACGACCAGAACAGATAACCGGGGTTTGCAGAGCGCGAGAAAGGCCGCCATTTTGCGGCGCGGGGACGTGGTGGGGAGGGCGGAGGAGAAGGCCGACAGCTGTGCGGAGGCGTCGGGGGGGATGACATGTTCGGCTTCGGCGTCGCTGGCTGCAGCTTCATCCTTTAGTCGTTTCCTTCGGCGGTGTGGAAGCTCTGTCTGCGTGGATTCGGAGGTAGTTGAGACGGGGGAGGAAGAGGTAGAGGTCGGCTGGTGGTCTGATGCTGATTTGCGGGTGGGGGAGTCGGGTTGAGGGTTGCCATTGTTGGTCGACAACGAGGACAGCAAGCTGCTCTTGTTTGCTGCAGCATCTTCGGCGCGATTGGAGGAGAAGAAGGAGCGGTGGAGAGGTGCAGGAGGGGATTGAGAAGCGGCACTGCCGGAGTGAGAGCGGGAAGACGAGATGAAGCCGCGGAGGCCAGCGGCGGAGAGACGCGGTGGAGGAGACCGTCTCAGAAGGCATTGGGATGAGATCCGACCGGCATCGCGAGTCGGTCCTACTGCTCGCAAGGAGCAGCGGAGGAGACTCATGGCGAAGGGGTGGGAAGAGGCAGCAGACGGCCGTGAGGAGGTCGGTCTGTCTGTCTGTCTAAATGCAGAGCAAAGCAACGGGATGGGAATCGGAAGGATTGAAGCCGAAGAGGGAAAGATGGCGGGTGCGGGCGACGGCAGGGACCAAGCATGCAGTGCGGCGGCGACCGGTGGGATTCCACCGGTGGATTTGATTATTTGATTGTCATCTACTCTCACACTTCAGCCTACTTAGAAACCAGGCTTCCACCTTCTCCTACACACCATCAGCCTTCGTCAGCCTTCCTCCTCTTCCATCAAACAATCCACGCATCATGGATCTCCTCCAGAAATCCGTCCTGGATCCTCTCCAGCCCGTCCTTCGCCCGATCGTCTCGGCCGTACCCGAACCCGTGCACGATGCGATCATCTCGCTGATCGGGCAGTCCTGCCACAACGCCTTGGTGGTCGACCTCGACATCAGCAAGGACCCCGCCTGTACCTCGCTGGCCATTTCCAAGGCGCTGGGCATCGCCATCGTCGGCGCCAGCGCCATCGTCAAGGTGCCCCAGATCCTGAAGCTGATCAACTCGCGCTCGTCCGCCGGCGTCTCGTTCGTCTCGTATGCGCTGGAGACGGCCAGCCTGCTCATCACGCTGTCGTACAGCGTGCGCAACAACTTCCCCTTCAGCACCTTCGGCGAGTCGGCCTTGATCGCCGTGCAGGACGTGGTGGTCGGGGTCCTGGTGCTGGTGTTTGCGGGCCGGTCCGCGGCCGCGGCGGCGTTCGTGGCGGTCGTCGCCGCCAGTGTGTATACCTTGCTGTTCGACCAGACCCTCGTGGATGCGAAGACGATGTCCCTGCTGCAGGCCGGTGCGGGCGCGCTGGGTGTGGCCAGCAAGGCGCCCCAGATTTTTACGATTTGGAGTGAGGGTGGCACTGGCCAGCTGAGTGCATTTGCCGTAAGTTTGTTCTGATTTGGTGTCTCGCCATGCGCACTATAGCTAATTGTCTTGGTTCCAGGTCTTCAACTATCTCGCCGGTTCTCTGTCGCGCATTTTCACGACTCTGCAGGAGGTGGACGACAAGCTGATCCTGTACGGATTCATTGCCGGATTCTCGCTGAACCTGATCCTCGCGGCTCAGATGCTGTACTACTGGAACAGCCCGGCCAAGTCGCAGGTCAAGAAGCAGGCCAAGGGCAAGCCTATTGCCAGCGCCAGCGCTAGCGCCGCGGGCGTCGCGACCCCGAAGCCCACCGCCACCAGCTCGGGCATCTCCTCGCCCAAGCCATCCGGCAAGACTCCCACCACCCGGCGACGTGGTTGAGTGGTCTCAAATCCTTTTTCTTAGCTTCTTTAACCCAGATAATTCTTAGTCCGCTTCTCCCCCGCTCCTTGTAACTCTTGTAACCATTGTAACGAGCAAAATCACCTCTGACTCGGCATCATCCCAACGGTCATAAACCGCAAAATCTCATCCAACGGCACAACCGGCGCCACACCCTTCTGCTGCCCCGGGGCATGCGGGGCAGAAGCAGCAGTAGCAGAAACCGGGGCAATATCAAACTCCAATCCCTGCCCCACGCCAGACTTCCTCCTCACCCCAACAATCTCCATCTCATCCGGCTCTCCCTCCCCTTCCTCCTCCCCACTCTCCCCCTCCTCACTTTCACTGTCATCATCATCATCATCCTCCAGCACCCGCCTCAACCCCGTCACCACATTCCCGACCCCTTGCTCCCGCTCCTCCAACGTAAAGTTACCACCCCAATTCCTCCGCCGCGCCTCCTGGTTCGCCTCCACCGGCGCCCAATCCCACAGCTCGGCGAGCGCGCCCAGATCATCCAGCCCGTTATCATTCCCGGCAGCCCCAGCTGCTGCTGCTGCTGCTGCCACCGCACTGCCCCCGTAGCCATTCCCTGCACCCCCCAGATTCCCCGGCACGAACGGAGGCGAGGCAGCCGCCAGCGACCCCCCGGCCTTCCGGCCGCGCGCGACCCAGTCCTCGACCCGGGGATCGAGCTTGGTGCGCAGCAGCTGCTCGAGGGCGACGGTGTTGGCCGGGTTGCGCGAGGGGTAGGAGGGGCTGGGGTAGGCGACGAGGGTGGCGAGGAGGTCGCGGTTGTCCGAGAGGTGGTCGGAGATGGTGAGGAGGTTGTTGCTGATGATTGTTGCCTGGGATTGGAGGGAGGTCCTACCCCATAGAAAGAAAATCAGTAATTGGTAGGTGTGGGTCAGTTTTATCAGGAGTTGGTGTTGCTTTACCCAAGTCCCAAGTCCCATCAGGACTTGGGTTGTTGGGGTTAAGGCTATGAGGGTAGGAGGGGAGGGGGGGGGGGGCCGTCAATGAGGATTTGTGCATGTGTCCATGATGCTGAAAGGGGAAAATGCAAAGGGTCGGGTTGGGATGGGCATAACATACCATGACGGCAGGGGATCACTCTGGTTCAAACTGGTGATCAACGAGGCCAGGGAATGCGTCAGTTGCACGAGGCGTTGGCGCGATTGCTCGAGGGTTTTGATCTGATCCGGGGTGAGGGCGGACATTTTGGTGTCTGCTCGGATTCTTTGGCGGGGTGATGGTGGAGGGTGAAGAGGAAAGGTCTGTCCCAGTCCAAGAAGAGAGGGCAGATGAGGTGGTGGTGGTGGTGGTGAGTTATTGCTTGCTATATCAAGATGCGGGCGCAATGAGGGCGGTGGTTGGCGGAGTTCGACAGGGCAGCGGAGATGTTGAAGGTGTTCCTGCCTGAGGCGACCATCGCCCTCCCCGCAAGCAACTGAGGGTCGATCCGCTTGTCGCTTTGCATCTCCTCTCCCTCTAACTATAACCCACCTACAAGTCTACATCTACCACAACCATCAAAATCAACAAAGACACAAACCCCCCATCCATCCTCCAGAATCCTGGCGCCTACCTCATCATTGTATCCTCACCACTAATCATCAACAGTACCTCTTCTTATCTTATAATCTCCTTCGTGGCTTTCGCCATGAAACACACTCCTTAACCGCCCAACCAGTCATGATCCCGCACCCAGTATCCCGTGTTTATTTATAGCCCCCCCGGCAGGGATTCTGCACAACTGTTCACACCCTCTCTCATCCTTCCCTCCTTCCTGCCCCCCGCGCTTAACGCACCGGGGAAGTAGAGGATATAAGCTCCGTCTCCTGCTCTGTTCTGCAACAGAGGCGGGGATTTACTATTCAGGGTCTTCTGCAGGCGTTGCTTCTATCTCCACTGTGGGACTCACCTTCGAAACTACACTACCCTTCCAACGCGCTTATGATTCTTCAGACTTCTTCAGAACTCTTCAAATTACTTCACTTCACGAATCTCCATCCATCCCATCACTTGCAATACATTACCAACAAAACTATGTGCAACACTCGAAGGAGAGGGGGGTATACAAGATCTGCTCCTCGCGATGATCCCATCTGATCCGCTCGTCATAAACATCATAAAAGAGACACAATGTGCTAACAAACAATAAAGACACCAAACATTATCGGCCCCGTATGCAGGCCAGTCAGTCATGGTGACGACCTCTTCACGTCGAGGTCAGGTCAACACCTGCCAGTGGAACCTCTGGCTGGAACATTCGCAGCCCAGAGCAGGAACAGGCTCATGATTTTGAGTCAGACTTGACAGGGAAGAAGTCTTCAGGCTTCTTGCCCTTCTCTTGCGGAGATACCGGAGAAATATCACTCTCCATCGCCACCGCCGTCTCTTTCACATGTTGCTTGGAGTGTCCCACCACCTGACTGCGGCCATCATTATCCACAAACTGGAAGCCCGAGCCTTCTTGCAGTTGCTGCGGCGGCTGCGGCTGCGGCTGCGGCTGGTACGCCCCCGGCGGATACATCTCCTGCGGAGAATACGTCGGACCACGCCATGGGTGCTCCGCAGCCAGAGTCTTCCATCGCTGCTGCTCCGACGCCCGCTCACGGCGGACATATCTCCGCCGCCAGCCGAGGCAGAAGAAGAGACTCATCGTGCACAGACAGACGAAAATCACAAACCCCATCACTGGAAGCCCGATCAGCGTCGCCAGTCGGTAGTTGATGGGATCGTGCGCCGTGCTGTTCAGCAGATCCCTGTTGTAGAAGGGAAGCTGAATTTCTGAAAAGATATCCGATGGACTGATGGGAAAGGCCGTATCAGTGGGCACGGGGAAGTGACACTCATAACGCATCGCCTCGAGAACTGATGATTTCCAACTTCCGTTAGCGGCTTCGTTCTCGGATTCACAGAAGATCATACGCACAATTTGCCAGATACCCCTGCGTGCTTGTCAGGTTGTAGCAGTTACTACAGGTGTCGATGTGGTTGTCGGCAAATGCCCCCGTGGCGCAATAGGCCCGCAGGTTGTTCTGATTCGGGTTCAGCAGCTCAAACTCGAACGCCGGGCTCAGGCCCAGGCACGCGACCAGACACGGAGTCGAAACCGTGTTCACATCCTTCGGATACCCGTAGACACAGGTGTCGAATGCGAACCGGAGATTATCTGGGCAGGAAACCTGATCAGCGCCTGATGTCTACCAGACACGGAATCAAAACTTACAGAGACCCCAGTTGAAGTCACTAATCTGGGTTTCAGCATCGGTGTAATTGCTCTGTAGTTCGCAAGAGACGCATTCTTGGAACTTCCGGCCAGTCTCGGTGGTGTTGTACGACTCGTCCAGACAGACCATCTCCGAGGAAGTGGTGTTGGTCGGGTTGCTACAGACGTCATAGCACGGTGAACCGTAGGTCGCATGCAATGCCCCGGCCGGTGAAGCCAGGGAGGACAGTAGCAGCAGTAACGGTGCTGCTACCGACATGATCGTAGATCGGGAGCTCGGGCCCCGCGGTTCGAATATCATGCCGATGTTCTTAGGGTTGGAATGATCGATCGTTCCTCGGGCTCCCAGTAAGACGAGATTACCGGGCTACCTGACAGCCAAACGAATGGAGGTGCTGAGTGCAGGAGGTCGACCGAGCCCAGCATCGAACTCACCGCACGGCAGGAGGATAGAGATAGCGACAGGAAGTGGAAGACCCAAGAGAATCCCAGGGGCAAAGATGAGGGAGAACGTGCACTGGAGGGCACGGGATGGAGGGAAGGGAATCAGAGGGTAGAAATGGCGATGCGGATCCCACGAAATAATGCATGACAAGCTCTTTCGGTTGGACGGCATGAGGGATCGGAGCCATGTTGGGGGGACTGATAGAAATGCATGCCACCACCGACCGCACTGGCGAGAAGGAGAACGAACCACCTTGTTTCCGTGCCGGATCACCAAGCATTGGAAGACACTGGTTCAACTATTCAACTAGCATTAACCAGGATTGAACCAGGGCGGGCAAAAGAAAACTCCTCCCCTGGTCAATCGGGGCGCTAAGAAGGAGCCCCCCCCCCCCCTCCTCTCCTAAGCAGGCGAGGGGCTTCTTGATCACTGTGACAAGACAAATGTGACTGTGACATGGAGTGCAGAAGCTTGCAGTCCCGGGAAAGAGCATGAGTCGCTGTGATTTGCTAGCCTGCCTCATGCAGGAGGAGGAGAACAAAAGCACTCCCGAGTCGGCTTGCGGGGTTCGGCGCTTGCACGCAGCCTCGCATTGGACAAGATCTCAACTCCTCAACTCGCCGCAACTGCTCTCAGTCAGCCCTCTTCGCTTCCAACCATGGTTTGCCTGTTTGCTTGTTGATCCTCTGTGCTATTCAGCGAAAGATGGTGTGATCGATAGACTTGATCAGATCGATTATCATTGTTCTCCGCCGGAATTGCAACCTTGACGGAGGAAGAGGAGACGCCATCCTTGCGCAGCATGACCCTCCCCCGAACAATACGGAAAGTACCGGGAAATATCAAAAACGCCTCCCAAGCAGACAACCGCAAACAAAACTAATTACACAAAACGCCACAATGCAGCAGCTTTAATCATCGGGCTTCCATCCCCGCGAGCTACACCATATGCCTCTCAGCCAGCGAGACATCAAGCCTGGTCCGTTCGGTCCGGCCCCTCGCCATCTGTCCTGGGCTGGGGGCTTCCAGACAATTCACAATCACAAAATGCCACTCGACCAAAACGACCCAAAATGCGTAAGCCAGAACAGCCACCCAATGTATCCGCCAAGATCTCTCCATAGACCGTTTACCCATACAGCTCATCGTAAGATGGAACCATCTCCTGTGCTCGGGGAAGCTCCTGCTTAGATCGTCGGCTAGCCCTCCGCTCTGCCAGCGTAGAGGATGGTGGGATAATCCCCGGAATCCGCTGGTCCTCGGACGGATTCGAGGGAACTGAGGAAGTATAGCTGTTATGTCTCGACCCGACCGTCCCTGGCATCGACACAGGAGACTCTGCCAAATACCCCTGGACACTACATCCGCGCATACGCGACGTGACAGACAATGGGGGCGACTTGGACGCTCGCGAGTAAAGTTCAGAATCCTCGTACGGACTGGGCCGACCGGAGGAGGGCTGGTGTCGCCCGTTCGATACATTCTGCGGCGATGGAACGGTTGCCCCTTCTGTCTCCTCCATCGAGCCATCGTCGGAGCACGAATGATACCAGGCACTCGGCGGATGAACAACGGTTGATTCATACGAGTGTTGCTTCTGCCTGGAGCGATTACCCACTCGCGCATCGTAGTGGCCCGTAGGAATGGTCATGGCTGAATCAACGGATTGTGCTCGCCCATCTCTGCTGGCCGGTTGTCCCAAAGCTCCTATGCGAGGTGAACTGGCGCATCTACCAGGCTCGAGTGAATTTTGTCGCCGTTCGCGGTCTCCATCAGATGTGCGGGCGCCCGCACTCGCTTGATCCCACTGGTTCCAAGAGCCGCCGTTGGGATAGGTGATAGATATGTCGCCCCATCGTGAGTGCAATTCGGACGATAGCTTCCGCTTCCTTCGCAGTTTCTGCATGAGGTTCGTCATAATCGCAAGAGGACTTTTCATGGAATGAAGCCTGAAGAGGCTGAGATGGGATTAGCATCGACGGCCGAGCCACGGATGATCGAAAAGTTGAGGGCCAAGGAAGGAAGAGCCGAGACATCCACAGTACCTTTCAAGGATGGGGTCCCCCCAGTGTGTAGCCGGTCCCCTTTTCTTACCCAATATTCCCTCCACTACAACGTAGTCCCTGAAGCTGTCTCAAAGAGGAAGGTAGTCGAAGGGACGAAGACCACCATGCGGCGCCGCAGGCTTCGAGACCCGTCTCTATCGAGCCGGTACACTTTACTCGATGACAGGAAAATTACGCCGGCCGAAGGGCTCATGCATATCGCTCAAAAGGTTGATCGATGGGGGTCCCAGTCAGAGGGGACCGACAATTGGATTTCCTTCAGGCAAGTCCTTCAGCAGCGGCAGGTAGTCATCCTGGGCCAGGCGAGTCAGTGACGGTCGCACGGGTGTGTAAGGCATTCACACACGACCCGACAGTCTGGTTCGCACACCCTCATCGCAGTCATTTCGTCCGGGTGGAGTGGGGGAAGAAAGTCGAGTGAGGGTCACTTTTATCCGAACACAAATCGCTTTTATGAAAGCGGCACGGAGGTTGGCCGCAATCACCGCCATTCACGGGCGTTTGAGGCAGGAAGGGGGTCTGGTCCGCGTAACTGCTGGGCAGGGGTGAGGAGGTCAGTCGCGAAGATGTGGACGCGGCGCAGTCAACCTGCTTGTGCAAGTTGCTAGCTGCGTGCAGCTACTGGGATGGCAGACAGCAATACGCCTAATAATTGGTCGTCGTCTTGGCATGGCGCATCTAGTGACCTCGGCGTCAACCAGCACTGGAAGACTGGGAAATATCCTTGTCGAGGCTAGCAGGTTGGTAGTATCGATTTTGAGACATGCCATGGTGAAGACGGATGAGGCGATATTAACCGCTCGAGGTGATAGCTGGAGGCCTCGTAATAGCTGAAGCAAGGGCGCGAGATTTGCGCAATTCACTGGTCAGCAGGTAATTAGGGCGAGGCCAGTGGTTCGGCCGGCGTCAGCAAACCATTTGGCTGTTCGCCTAGGAGGCCAGGGTCTGGCGACGAGAAAAGAGGGGAAGCCGCAAAGGACAACCACCGGTTTGATCGTCGCGGCTGGACCCGAACCACCCGCAGAGCTTATCTACGCGCCTGGATGGATCCCCTCCAGCAGACGAGGAGTCATTGTCACATCTCGTCGTCACTCCGCAGCTTGTCGGCTCCGAGGAATCCTCCTTCGTTCTCTAGCTGCAGGGCGGCGACCATGACCCCCTCTCTGGTGACCCTAGCAAGAGCGGGAATTCTCGAGATACCCAGACCAAATGGCCAGCCCACTGATCGTAGCTTTTTCTCCTTTGGGTTAATGGACGCAGACTGGGTGCCTGCAAAGTCGTCGTCTGTCGGCTCGCAAACGTTATGGCGTGTCGCACTTGTTGCCGAGCACCCAACAACCAACCCCCACCTCCACACATGATGGGTTAGACTATAACCTGTTTGTTCCCGGTGTTCTAGCCGCCGGACGTAACCATTCGAGAGATCAATCCATTTCCCTCCGCGATGGACGAAGTACTAAGGCGACTCCAGCTGAGCTGTCGTGCGTCAGTAGACTTGGAAGATTACTCGCAACGAGGACGGGAAGGAACAGCGAGGCGTGAGGGGAGAGGGGTAAGAGGAGCTTTGAAAAAGTACCAACCTGGAGTTGAGTGACACACGCTCAGGGAAGAGCTGCTTCGGTTTAGCTCATGTCACAGCATCTACCATCGGACCCTTCGAGGTAGATCGCCAATAGCATCTGTAGACGCTGAGCCTGTAGGACTTTGGCGGAGTAGCTCCAACCACGAGCTCATACCATCTCTCTGTACCCCGTCGTTGGTGTGCTGTTGCATCCTCTCCATCCTCTCTTCCTTTTCGTAATCATAAACATCATCGTCATCGTCATCATCATAATGCATCCAAGCAGCTTTGTCCTCCATGCGTTCAGTCAAACACAAGTCGACCAACCATAACAGAAACGAGCGCTTTCCCAAGGAATGGAAAGCAAAAGGACAAGAGAGGTATCAATCTATAAGCGAGCGACAGAAAGGTCTGAGAAAAACAAAGAAAGAACTTCCTCCTCTCGTGATCATCGAAGATCCGTCACCAGTCTCGACAACACAGGTCTAGGCCGTCGCGGCATCTGCTGTGCTGTGCCATCTAAGTTATTAGACGAAGCAAGAGAGGCATCATCATTCAAGTCCCTCAAGGGACCTATCGTGGGTGAAGGCTGAAAGGAGAATCTAGGAGTAATCAACGAGTCCCGCTGAGCCATGATGGGAGCTGGTGGACTCAAGATCGACGACGGGGGTCTTTCCTGCTGAAGGCCCAGTGTAGGATAATGATGATAGGGGATAGCGAGCCCAACAGCCGGAGCAGGAGGGGGAGGGGCATCGACCCTCTGATATCGAGAAGGGTCATAGGTGGGTAAGGGTTGAGGTTGATAGGCTGGGGGTGGATCGCGAAGGAAGTCATCCACCGGGCTGTGGTAATGAGCTGAGAGACGCGACATGGGCTGGGCTGGGGGAGGGAAGACCGATGACATCGTTGTTCCTCCTCCTGCTTCTCCTCTTCCTTCTTCGAGCTGCTGCTCCTTCTGGTTGGCGTCGAGATCACGCAGAGTGGGATAATAGCCCAAGGCGTAGGAGATGTGATGGTCGATGAGGAACTGTCGGTCCTCACGACGTTGCATGGAGCGTCTCTTGTGGCAGAGGAAGGCCAGGATGCCGGTCACTGTTGTTGGGCTGATGGTCAGTTTGGCCGAGTTTGTCTTCTCGGATTCAGTCCCTTCCCTTTCCATGTTGGTTGTGCCGACAGGAACCAGACACAACACAACACAACACAAGAACAAA